GTGTTCAGTTTACAGAAGTGTTCAGTTAAGAAGTATTCAGTTTACAGAAGTGTTCAGGTAAAGGTATATTCAGTTTACTGAGGTATTCAGTTAAAAAAATTTCAATTTGAAGAGGTGTTCAGTTTAGGGATATTCAGTATAGTCAGATGTTCAGTTCATTCATGGGTATTCAGTGAGATGCAGTAGGAGTTCCACTGTACTACACTGTAACTTAGTTTGATTCTTTGTGTAGGATACAGTACAGCACTTCTAGTACATGCAGTCTAGTGGATTTAGCATGGAAACATGTGGTGGCAGTCGGTGCTCTTTTGGTTGCTGCTATTGTCACCTATAGTAGGTAAGTATACCCTACTTCTTTCAACCTATACATGTGGTGGCAGTCGGTGCTCTTTTGGTTGCTGCTATTGTCACCTATAGTAGGTAAGTATACCCTACTTCTTTCAACCTATACATGTGTCTGATCCAATGATTCTATCTTCAAAACCACTCATCAAATTTCAAATAAACGAGGTACATAGATGGTCTGGGAAAATGTGCGCATCTGATTAATTTTAGTTAATTAATGGATATTATTACATAATTTGTCTATTAAAAAGCTAATCTTCAGCTGTTCCACTGATATCTCAAGACCCCCTTCACAGATTTCATTGAGACTTGACTTTGGTGGTTACTAATACTTGTTACCACCTTTATGTGCATTCCACATGTAGAAATACACTGGATTGATCCAGAACTAACAGTACCAAGGCACAAACAAGAATTGTGAGATTACAGGAATATCGTTAATTATTTTACTCCAATAATACGTGCCAATGATTTTGTTAAATTACCAATAAAGCATGCAATAACATTGTTCTTTTCAGAGTATATCTTCATTATCACACAAACAGACAGGTGTACAGTGGTGCTGTAGTTGGCTCATTGGTTGCCGTGTTATGGTTCATTTTCACACAGGTAGGTCCGAAGATGTTGACTGTCATTATAGATCCTCTAGCATGCTCATCAAAACTCATAAAGGCGGTCGAATTTTTAGAGCACGCACAAGTTTTTAGAGTATTTTTGCACTCCTCGATGAAAACAGTAAAAAAGAGCTACTGCGGTTAATTTTACATAAATTCAAAATGTCCATTGTACACTCTGTCCTTTTCCATTAATAATTCATTAATAAATCATTTCATACCATACCATGTGACAATATGTAAGGGACGACGTCAAAAGATCGATGTCGGATAAAAAACTTAATTCCTTTAGTTTTTTTCCAAATCCCCCTACCCCCCACTGAAACTTAATAGACCTTTTGCGCAATACACCGGAAGACATTTCTGAGCATGCGCAGTGGTACGCAAGTCCCCCGGTTGACCCAGTTGAGAGGCGGAAGACCGATTTGTTGAGCCGGTATGTATAGCATTTAATTTTAGACTGTTTTTTAATGATTTCTGTGAGAATTTGTTAACACTGGACGTGTCTCTATATTGCAGATTTACTAGTTGATATTCCAAAAGCATTTTTAAATCGCAAAACCTATTAAAATCTTAAAAATTCAACTTTTCAACCTGCCTTTGTAAAGTTTTGCGGGCAGATTTTTTCTTTTGTTTAAACCCTGTCTCGCGAAGTCACTGTCACTTATTTTATTCGTTGCTTTTATAATAATATTCGAAATACTGTTTCTACTAAGTATTTTTCATTATGTACTCTTGCCATGGCACTTTTGACAGTGTATGCCTGTGCTATCACCTGGACTGTGGCGGTACTGTCATGGTTCGTTTCCTGTTTAAGACTGCCATTGAAAATTCAGGAACTGTCTGAACTTGGACTAATGTGTTGTTATGTTGTTCATAAATTTCAGCATCTACATATTTGTTATTTACAGAGATGGGATTTTGCTGTGTGCCTGGGTGTAATAATGACACCAAAAAACGCAAAGGGGGAGAACAAGGCGTTTCATTTTATACCATCCCAAAGAAACCCTACTCCAGATACAAATCATTTTTGTATGCCGTGGGGCGGGAAGATAAGTGGAAGCCCTCACCATATTCCAGAATATGCAGCAAACACTTTGCTAATGGGAAAAAGATTGATTTAATTCAGCAAATCTGTTGACCATGTCTTGCCATTAGTCACAGAAAGTAGACCATCTACAGACCAGGTGTCACAGAACGCTATAACAAAACCAGCACGACAGATCACTCACCATCAGTCCTCGCTAGCTACTCCGCCATCTTAGCCACCGCCTGAGTGTTTTCCTCCTGCCACAGAGGGCGCACCTCGTAAAACCACTTATGCAAATTAATGTAAGAATAAATAATAAGAATTCATGACATCACTCCCCTTTCAGAGGAAACTTATAAAGTTTCTGCACAGCACATGAATTCTGTTACATAGTCCTTAAACTGCTCTACTTAGAAAATCAGCTCATGGTT